ATAAAAATTCCTAAAGAAAGAATGTTCACAGGAGACACATCAGAAAAATGTGAAAGAGCCAGACAAATGAAGAAAGAAGAATCCTCTTTATACTTACAGGAATAATCCTTGCACGTTCTTTCCTGAGCTTCAGGACAGTTTAAAGACAGTATATTATTGTTATCCAGGACCGCAGCCTTGATTGTTTTCCTCGGGTGATTTTGGTGGTGTGCTGTCTGACATGAAAGAGAATTTTTTTCCCTCTTACTTGTATTTACCTTCTTAGAGATTCTCTTTCTATTCAGTTATTTGAGGTACTGTGGGGCAGAGTGAATTGAAAGGGATTTCTTTTTTCTGTCCTGTTTCTTGGAGCTCTTCTCAAGTAGTAAAATGGCTTCATGTCTTTCAAATATAGAGTGATCCTCAGCTCATCTTTAAAAACATCTCCCTTTGCTCTATTACAAACACTATTTCCCACTTGTACTGCCACCACAACATTGCATTCCACTATCTGAGCTCCCAAGAAAACCAGCTGGGCCATGCCCCAGAGGAGATAGAGAGAGACCACCGCTTGGTTCATGGCTTCTCCATTAAGGATATTGGAAATAGAGAAAATGGATCAGTAGCAACAACACAGGCGGATGAGGTAGGAAAATCTCCTTTTCTGCTGCAGCAGCTCCAACTCTTTCCTCCATATCCTGATCCTATTACTTTGCAAAAATCTACCGCATCCCTCTCCTTACTCATCCAGGAAAAAAGAGGATTGAATTATTTTAAAAGATAAATTGTCCTCATATATGAATATTGAAACAAAATTGGATCATTTGCTAAATTTTATTTGCTTTAATAGCCTTAGGTTAAAAATGAAAATTTAAAATATAGCCTTGGCTTGACCTTTCCTTTCTTATTTCAGATGGTCATAGTGGAAGGTTTTAAATAAAAGATGATCATATTAACTGAGCCTTCTTCAAAGGTCAGCTTGTCTATTTGTCTGAATAGTTTTGTTATTTCAAGAGACAATCATGTTTTCATTTTGGGGCCATCCATATGCGTGGTTAAATAGCATGCATTGTTTCAAAATTGCAATTGCATGCTTTTGTTTAAAATACGAATCATCAGTTAGAAAAACTCCAATATGCATTTCCTGTCTTCCTTGCTGTCGTAGGAAGGAGCCGAGGCAGTGAGGAAATAGTGGCTTCCTTGGGAAACAGAAGGAAGTGCCCAAAGGATATGTGGGAGGGACACAAAAAGAGACTCTGTCTACTTCTCCATTTTTTCTAGGAACAGTTCTCTCCACGTTAACAGCATTTCTTTATATATACTTACATGTAAATAAGTTGAGAGTCACACAATAAGAACTGGTGACACAAAGTCCAAACTGAAAATTAACTCCATATTAAAGGAAATAGGGCCGTGAATGGTGCTGGAAGAGAAACAAGTGGACTTTAAAATACTTGGTTTGTGACTAAGGACCAGAAATATTTATTCAATGTCCCCATGAGCATGAAGCTGTGGTGAGCTAAATGTCGTTTGGGGGAAGAGGTAGGGAAGAACATATTTAGCATGGTTTTCTGAAGAATTTCCTTGAAAAGAGGAACCTCACATAATTCTGCTTTTTAACAAAAAGGAAATAAGCAAAATTATATCAGTACAATAACACTCTCTTAACTTGAATATATTAAAATTTTAGTGTTATATATCACATTCCATTTAGAACACCCTCATGAATGCTGTTCTTGGCACACAGAATCAGGAGATGGAGACGCACAGACGGTCCCTGTCCTCCAGGAACTTGAACACGACCAACAGCCACCCCACACCAACAGTAAGGGCTGTCGGGTTCGGGACACGAGCTCCTCGTCTGCATGTAAGGCTTTTACTGCCGTGCTGTGAACTCTGGTATGCGTCTTCTTTTTAAAGTGTGATAACACAGTCATTCTAAACCTATCTCCCTTGATTTGAAAGTGCCTGACATTGCAAGATAGAAATGAAAAAGACCTGTAATTTTATACGGTTTCAAAGTGCTTCCCGTTACTGCCAAAGTGGCCCATGTGAGAAGTCAGAACTGATTCAGATGACTTCCTATCGCAGTCTTCCTGTGTTCATACAATGTCCTGGGTCACAGGAAGGGAGACAAAATGTGTCCGAAAAATTAAAATATATCTATCTTCCTATCTACCAATATTTAATTTTAATTGTCTTTAAGTGAATTACATTCTAACTCCATTCTAAGGCAAGTATCAATTTATGATGTGTGCAATTATCTATAATTAAAAATAAAAATTTTTTTAATATTAAAACTAAAATGAAATTATTCCTTGCATGTCATTCTCAAATTTTATATACAATGCTTTTTTATGACTAGAAAATATGGCTCAGGGAAAATAATTTGAGCTTTCTTTCCTGTAATAGTACCATGTAAATGTTGGGTTCAAATTTTATTTTGATCTCATTACATTGTCCTGTTAGGTATTTGTATTGTACCCTGCACACATGTATACAATCAGCCATTGTGCGTGAATCGTAGTAGATGGCCTTCTGGAGAAGAGCGCTGTTCATCAGCTCAGGAAAGGTCACGCTTTGTCTGCTCGTTCTATAAATCACGCACACATTTCATCTAAGTGGCTTAAAGATGTGCAAGGCCTCAATTCCACCAAGCAAAGCAACTGCATATTTTTGAATGAAAATTTTCAACAGCTAGAATAGAAGAAGTGACATGGTTCACATTCTACATAAATACAACTAATAGTACCTTCAAGGGCAAAAATCAGCTGTGAAAATGAAACCAAAATGACTGGAAACAGAAGGCACACACTAAGTTAGTCATTGATTGATTTAGTTGGGAGGTTCCCAGTAAAAAAGCTGACATTGATTTATCTTTTAATCTAACAGAATAACAACAAATCTTAAAGCAATCAGTTTTAATGGTCTTAATAACTCCAATCAAATTATTCACCTTCCACATTAATATAGGAGGTTGGCTTCATATTTATTCATCAGATTTGTCAAATAAATATCACTGTTTGCCAAACTAAACCCGAGTCCTTCGGTTCTAATAGATTCCATTAGCATCCCCTTCATAATTGCCCTCTCCTCGTAATTAAGGTGACACAGGTCCCAGTTTTCTGGGCACAGCCAGGATCCTGGTTTACACTTTTTGCGTTGGCATAATTTTTAAGAGAGTCTCTCCATTTTCTGAAGTGTCCTGGTTTGAAAGATGAGGCATATGGCCCCCATGTTCATAACACTGCTTCCATTTTTCCATTTCTTTAGGTCCCATTAAAACCAAAATTCTTCTTTAAGATCAGTGTGAGCAGACATATGAAAAGACCACAACTTAATAAATCTATGTGATAGTTCTTCACTTACTCAAAGAAAGTTCTTTTCCTCAGCCCCATCACATGTCTGAGTTCTCAAAAATAGTAGCCTAGAAAAATAAAACTTTGCTGACAGGCTGCCTTATAAGCTTTTCTTTCTAGGGACTATATTTGATAAATAAAAGGTTTTTTTTCTTCCTTCGGACAATAGCAGAAACTAAGATGGTCCTTGTGAGTGAATTTAAAAAAGAAAAGCTGCTTGATTTTGTTTATCTGATCTGAACTTTCTTAATATAAACTTTAAATGTCTAAGATGGTGATGTGATGAAATCTTCCCACTGTTTACTAATATTGATTACATTTTGCATTGGCTTTATGTTCTATAAATACAGAATTTTTACTAGTGATGAAAAAGATGAGCACACAGGAATCTTCCAGATACCTTCGGAGTTACACTGAGGCTTCCACCATCAAAGGAATGGTTCTACACAACGCAGTGATACGGGGGCCACCTGGGGCTTTCCATGAGGTGATGATTGCTGAGTAAAGCGGACAGACAGGATGGTGTGCTCAATGGATACAAGGCAGGAATAATACCAGGAAAGAGAAATCAATGCCACAGCAATACAACTTCTACGGAGTTTCCAACCTAATGGATTTCTCATTTAGTTAGACTGTAAATTTGATCCTGTGCAACATTTACTTTCTTTATGTAGCCCAGGATTAAAACGGAAAACCTAAAAAGGCCATATAGGATAAAGAGACTGTGAGATGCCCTCAAAGGGATGACCATTTCCCAGAGGATATAAATAGATTGTTGTTTTGATCCATTTAAAAGGTCATTAGTCAAATGTTCTGCTTCTTTTTCTCTGACTCTCGTTTCTCCCCATCTCTTGATTTCTCAAGCACAGAGGCATACATTAGAAAGAGAAATTAAATCATCAAGCCAAACTATCCCTAGTCCTAACAAGAAAACGCGAATTTAAAATTAAACTTTTAGAGGTTTATAAATTCAAGTTCCACATGCATTTCAAATTAAACAAGTCACTTTTATTAACTAAACTGCACTTAAAATAATTCCCAAATCAAGGAAACAATGAATTCAAGTGCCCTCTTTCAACCATAAGAATATGAGAAATCATGTTGGCAACTTTTGCCCTCTTTCTAAAATCATAACCAGATAAAGCCACTAACTTGAAGTGTTCTCCTCCTCTATTTAAACATTATGTAAAGGATCTAACAAATTACTAATAGTTGATAATCATCAGGTTTTACCAGATTTACAAAGCCAATTTTGAGGTGCTAATAGGCCCCAGTAGGGAAATCAGTCCTCAGTTAAATAAACAAGTCATTAGGTTGCAGTAGAATATTTAATATGGACGCAGAGCACAAAACAGACAATCTCATTTGTAGACTAAAATATTTCTCAAACAAAAACTACAAAAATTATCTAAACACTATGTCAGGCAAGATCGGCAATGCCAAAAAAGGAAACAATATAGTCCTCGACCTTGAGTTATTTATACTTAACTGGAATGAGACACATGCTCAAAGCAACTGAGAAAGATTCCAAGCAAACCACGCTACATTAACATTCATCATAAGCCCCTAGTGTGCATGATCTATGCCTTCAAGAAACAACATTCAATATTTAACAAACTTTTATTAAATTCTGATTATCAAGCACCATATTGGGCGCTGGGGTTAAGCCAGTGACAAAGATACAATCCTTCTTGTTGGGGAACTTACCTAACCTCAGGAGGGAGGATAGTGGGTCAGAGGAGTCTTCCCTGTGGAGGTGATCCCCACACTGAGGCCTGACGTGAGGAAGGAAGAGACCAAACAATGACAGGGTGTTCACGGCAGGGCGAATGAAGTTACAATTTCCCAGAGGGCAGACAGGGCACTATTAGCGCTATAGAGCATTTAACACATCTTGAAAACAGAGTTGAAGCGACACAGTCTGTGCCTTTGCTTCCACTGCAGCCCAGAGCAAGGATTGTGACATAAAGTAAGTCCTCAACGAAAATTAGTTTGAATTGAATTGCAAGGCTTTCTATAAAAAAGCACCTTGTAAGTTATACGGACACTTTTAAATCACTGTTATTCTATTCTGCCCTGGACAGGGGCATTCCCAACACGCCCCTCTCATTTGTTTCCCTACACTGCAGACACTTCGTTTGCTTGGATCCCTCTGCAAACCACATACATTCTCTTGGATGTCCCACAGAAGTAACAAACTTGATGGGCTAAAAACTGGGCTCATCGTCTATTATGCCAAATCCTATCCTTCCCTCATAGCCCATATGCTAGAAAAGACAACCTGCATTTAGCCTGAAGCTAAGCCGCAAGCCAGATAATCCTTCCAGGCTCCTCTCTCTCCTTTGTCTTTCCAAATCAGTGGATCACCAAATCATCTCAATTCTACCTCCTAAACATCTCTTTAATCAGATCTCTTTCTCTCCATCTCCGTCAACTACATTGGTTCAACTCTGGTATCTGTGATTGCCTCCTAACGCTTAAATTTTGCTGATTATCTTGCCAGAATAATCTTTCAAAAATGTAAACCTGATCACATAATTCACTTGGCGAAATGCTCCAGTGGCTGTGCAAGATCTAGATGATGCTTTGTAGCCTCTGTGATCTGAATGCCCAGTGTATCAAAATGCTATTGCTTAGGACACCCAGGTCAATTTGTCTAGAATCTACTCCATAATGTGTGACACCTCTTCATATACTTCTATCATAACAATGATGGCACTGCACTTATTTGTAATTTAAAGATTTAGAAGTGCATTATGATGTAATTTTAAAATGTAAAAAATATGAAGGGAAAAATACAATACTCAGGTGTCTAAAATCAGACCACTTGATTTTCAATATTTTTCTATATTTGTTTCAGGACTTGTACTCTCCAGAGAAAGAAGAAATTAGATAGATAGGTAGATAGTTAGATAGAAGGATGAGAGACAGAAAGAGAGAAGGAGGGAGAGATTTATTACAAGAAATTGCGTCATGCCGTTATGGAGGCTGAGAACTCCCAACATCTGCAGTCACCAAGCTGGAGATCCAGAAGAATTGACGGCATGGGTCCAATCTGAGTCCAAAGGCCTGAGAAGCAGGAGAGCCAAAGTGTAAATTCCAGTAGAGTCAGAGTCCAAATGCAGGAGAAAATCAATGCCCCCAATCAAAGACAGTCAAGCAATGAGAGAGAGCTCTCCCTTACTCAGCCTTTTTTGTTCTAAGATCGTCAGTGGATTGGATGAGGCTCATCCACACTGGGGAGGGCAAGGCATTGTACTCAATCTACCAACTCAAATGCTAATCTTATCCGGAGACACCTTCACAGACACATTCAGAATAAGGTGAACCAAATATCTGGGCACCCCATGGCCCAGTCAAGTCGACACATAAAATCAATCATCACAGGACTTCTATTTCAATTAAATAAAATGTCAGAGGTTTACACCATTTATTGATTCTATCAATTCTGTCATTGATGAAAGGCAATGATAACAGAGAAGTTGGTGTGAATTCTTTTCTACCCATGCTTTTTATATTTTGTTATGTATATATTTATCTCTAAATAAAATAGTTGTGATTTATGTTTTTATTTTTCTCTAATTGGTATCATTCTAATCATATTTTATGGCACCTGCTTTTTGAGAATCATATATGCTGCTACATAGAGACTATTTATTCATTTTAATGGATAATATTATATTAATTTATACGTTTATTCAATAAATATTGAGTCCCAGGCATATATTTACTTTATGCATACCAGGCATATACATATGCATACAAGGTATATATTTATAAATAGAGCAAAATTTCTCTCTGTATTTCCTCTATTGACTGCTTCTGGGTTTCCACTATTAAAATCTATGCTGCTATGTACAGTTTTCTTCCCTTCTCCTTACGGACATTGCAGTTCTTGGAATATCGTTGAAGGGTCATTGGCCAAAAGCTTTTTTAAATTTTTTTTAACATCAACTTAATTGTTCTACAAAGTGCAGTGATTTACACTTCCACCAGCAGTATATGAGTTCTACATTTATTGATGTTTTTGGGTGATATCTTGTATCGTCAAATGTTTTATTTTTTGGCATTACACAGTATTTGTAAAACTATCTTATTATTTCAAACTGTGTTCCCATTATTTCTTTGCTGCATAACAAACTACCCCAAAACATAATGGCATAAGAGAATATCATTTTAGTATGTTGACTATTCCCATGGATCAGGAATTTCAATAGAGTCCAGAATGGATGGATTGTGTCTCTACCTTAACATTCATGACCTTGGAGGAGAAGACTGCAACAGTTGGGGGAAATGAACAACTGAGGCTTGAAGACCAGAGCACCTACACCTGGCCTCTGTAAGCTTCTAACAAAACAGCAGCCTCAGGGAAGTCAGACCTGGAACTCAGGGCTCCAAGAGGAAGCATCCAAGTGACCAAGGGTGAATCTGCATGGCCTTTTATGGCCCGAGTTCCAAAGTAACAGAACATCAATTTTGTCATATTTTTTAATTGGTGAACCCATCACAGCTCCACCCACTTTCAAGGGGAGGGGATATAGACTCAAAATCTGGATGGAAGGAATGTCCAAAAAAGGTGCAATTATGTTTTTGAACTATCAAAATGGACAGTTCTCTGATTATTAATGTGAATCTTTTCATATGTTCTCTCTATTCATGCATACCTTTTGTAAAATACCCATTTATATTGTTGCTCCTATTATTATTAAACTGATTTTGTATCATTCATTGATTAATAGGAATCTTGATATATTTTATTCCAAATCTTTTGAAAATGAGACAAGTGAAGTATCTTTGTATTTTAAGTTTGTTTGTGATGTCTTTTATGGTATTAAATCAAATTAAAAGCAGTAAAATACATGAGTCTCTTCCTTTAAGGATTATACATTTTGTGGCTTGTTAAATCTTATACAGTATATATAGATATATACGCACATTATATGTGCATATACATATATTCATGTATGTATATCATCATATGATGCACAGTCGTATGTGTATGTTTAGTACAGATATACAGATATGAGATATTTCCTCATGACTGTCAGAATGGCTATAAGTAACAAGACAAGAAATAACAAGTATTAATATGTATATATATATGTCTGTATCTATGTCTGCTGTGTCTATCTTTGCACTAAAACTACTGTATCTTTATCATAAGTTTTCTATCTGGTAGTGCAAATATCCTTTCATTTGTTTTCATATTTTTTATTAATTTCTTTTTTATTGAGGTTAACATTGGTTTATAACATTATATAAGCTTCAGGTGTATATCATTATATTTCAAATTCTATGTAGACTACATCATATTCACCACCCAAAGACTAATTACCATCCATCAGGGTACATATGTGCCCTGTCACGTCTTTCACTCTCCTACCCCCTCCCATCCCCTCTGGTAACAACCAATCTAATCTCTGTATATATGTGTTTTTTTGTTGTTCTTGTTTTTATCTTCCACTTATGAGTGAGATCATACAGTATTTGACTTTGTCTTATTTCACTTAGCATAATACCCTCAAGGTCCATTCATCTTGTCACAAATGGCAGGATGTCATTTTTTTTTATATAGCTGAGTAGTAGTCCATTGTGCATATATATCACATCTTCTTTAATTATAATACCACATCGTCATCCCTTGATGGGCACTTAAGGTGGTTCTGAGTCTTGCCTATTGTGAATAACGCTGCAATGAACATAGGGGCGTCTGTATCTTTACACATTGATGTTTTTGTGTTCTTTGGATAAATACTCAGCAGTGGAATAGCTGAATCATATGGTATTTCTATTCTTAATTTTTTAGGAATCTCCATATTGTTTTCCATAGTGGCTGCACTAGTTTGCATTCCCACCAGCAGTGTATGAGAGTTCCCTTTTCTCCACATCCTCTCCAACACTTGCTATTTCTTGTCTTGTTAATTATTACCATTCTGACCGGCATGAGGTGATATCTCATCATAGTTTTGATTTGCATTTCCCTAATAATTAGTGATGTTGAACATCTTTTCATTTGCCTGTTCGCCATCTGTATATCTTCTTTGGAAAAATGTCTGTTCAGATCCTCTGCCCATTTTTAAATTGGGTTGTTTACTTTTTGTTGTTGAGTTGTATGAGCTCTTTGTGTATTTTGAAGATTAACCCCAATCAGATATTTGATTTGCAAATATCTTCTCCCAATTGTTATGTCATCTTTTGATTTTGTTGATGGTTTCCTTTATTGTGCAGAAGTTTTTAGTTTGATGTAATCCCATTTGTTTATTTTTTCTATTTCCCTTGCCTCGTGAGACATGGTATTCAAAAAGATACTGCTAAGACTGATGTTGAAGAGTAGACGGCCTCTGTTTTCTTCTAGAAGTTTTATGGTTTCAGGTCTCACATTCGAGTCTTTGATCCCTTTTGAGTTACTTTTCAGGATAGTGTATGATGAGGGTCTTCTTTCCTTCTTTTGCATGTGGCTGTCCAGTTTTCCCCACACCATTTATGGAAGAGACTCTCCTTTCTCCATTGATGTTCTTGGCTCCCTTGTCGAACATTAGCTGTCCATAGATGAGTGAGTTTATTTCTGGGCTCTTTATCCTGTTCCATTGATCTGTGTGTCAGTTTTTGTGCCAGTACCATGCTGTTTTGGTTACTATGGCTTTGCAATATATTTTTGAATCAGGGAGTGTGCTGCTTCCAGCTTTGTTCTTTTTTCTCAGGATTGCTTTGGCCATTCAGGGTCTTTCGATGTTCCATATAAATTTTAGGATTCTTTGTTCTAATTCTATGGGCCACAGGGCCAGCCCCAAATTTTATTTTTTTTTAAACACATCTGGGAAATAGTTCTTTATCATTTCTCTGATAATTTAAACATGAGAAATTGTGTGTTATTCTGCTAACACACAATCATGATGCTTATTTCCTTCTATGTTTGGTAATTTTTTTTCCAACTGGGAACACATATTTGGTGAAACATAACTGGTGGGAATCAGGAGAGCCAAACTCAATATGCTTTGTATCAGAGAGGATTTGTGCTGGCCTCTGCTTCATGGCAGATCCTGTCCCCAGCCTGATGCCATGTTAATTTAATATTTCAGTTCGATGTCTCCCTAAGTAAATGGTAGTGTAAATTTAAACATCAGAACTGTGTGAGAGCAAGCTAATGATTATAAATTGTCTGTAAAGAGTATTGCTAATACTATTTTCCTCTGTAGCAACCTTGGACATGACACATTTCCTGGTAGAATCGATTTTTTGACTGGCAGAATTTTTTCCTAGCACAACCTTGAACTTTAGGGTTGGCCCCATCGAGATCCAGGCCTATGAGGATTCTTGGGTTCCGGTGCCCACCTTTCATGGGCGCAAAGCCTGGTCTCCAGTTCCTCAGAATTTCAGTCATCCCTAGTTCATGGCTTTACTTTCACCTGCCTCTTCATTTGTTTATTGGCATGTGTACTTGTCTATTTTGATCTATGTTGAGTGTCAATATATGATTCCTAGCTCAGCAATGAATTAAAATATTATCCAGAATCTCTAACATGTTTTGTATTGGAAGGTTTTCAAAGAATCTAGCTTGCTATGCCACCCAAAGTGGAAATGCTCCACTGTTTTGAGCTCCTTGAAGTGAGGGACTATGTTTTGTTCTGTTTTTTAAATAGTATTTTAGTAAAGTAGAGTGCAGGCAAAATCAAAATAAGCTGAAATATGTAAGGAAATTTTAAAACATTTTTATCATGTTTTAAAATTTATTTTATAAAATTTTAATAAATTTATTGACATATAATTGACCTATAAAAACTGTATTTATTTAAAATGTACAATTTGATGAGTCTTGACATATGTATACATTCACGAAACTATAACTACAATCTGGATAATGAACATATTCATCACTCCTTGAAGTTTCCTTGCGCCCTTCTATAATTTCTGCCTCTCACTACCCCGATCCACCCCTAGGCAAACACTGATCTGTTTTCTATCCTTATATATTAACTTTATATACATTGGATCATCTGTATGTACTCATTTTTGGCTGCTTTCATTTACGCAGCATAATTATTTTGAATTTCATCAGTGCCAGAATGTGT